AAAGAAAGGGTACCTTTTCATTTTTCCCAATGTACCATGTTTCTACATTGCTTATAGAGCTTGTACAAGCAACACTGTTAGTTTCTATATAAAGATTTCCATAAAATTTTTATAGTTTCTATAAATGCATAAAGATTGTTGGTTTCATTATAACCTCTGTTTCAGTGCCAGTGGAAAGAAAAATTACCTGCAACTCTAAACAGCAAACTATATATATAGGGTAAGTACGTGTGCTCAGACTTCTATTCAAAGAGCTCTAAGACACTGGCTATATTTCACCAAAATATACATGAGCGCACTGGAGAAGCAACTTCTAGTACATTCACCCCTAAGCACCACTCTTGGAACAAACAGGCTATAAAAAGTGCAATTGTGAGAACAAATTATTAATTCTACATGTTTTAGTACAAGAGGTAATCGTATTATAACTAATATGTTTTAAAATGGTATGTGTAATGCCTATTATACTTGACATATTACAAGGCTATTTATGGAAATCTTCTCTCTGATAGGTTACCATAGCTTTACTCCAAATTATCCCACAGTACATGTTACTAAAGGCTCTTTTTAATCTGAAAAATCATATAATGTTTTGAAACCAAAGATGGGATTTTGATGAGAATGGTGACCATAATTTGCTAACATGTTAATTTAACTATCCTTTTCTCCCTTAATTCAATTAGCATTCATTAAAATTGCACTAATCACAATGAGTAAAGTTTTACCAATTACTTCCATAATTATGAATGAATACAGTAAACAGAATAATTATAAATCTACTTAATTAACTACAGGCTATTTCCAGCAGAAAAAGATACTCATATTCTGTATTTTATTTTTAATGCTAGATTGACATGCTGATATCTTTGAGAAGCATTTCCAGAAATGAAAAATCTTGTTATGATTCTGTTTTTTTAAAAATTTTCTATTGTACAGGTTTTATTAAGAACTTCATTCTCTAAACTGGTAGTGAGAGATTGAAAAGAATCTGGCTTAAGCTACCAAAACCAAAGTAACTTAAAAATTGTATCTGTAATTTTGAATCTTCACCATCCCCCCAAAAAAATAATTTTTAGACTACTTTATATTATGCCTAACCCTAAAGGATACACCATTTTCAAAATTTCTTATGTAAGTTGTTAGATTTTTTTTAAATGCAGGATTCAAGTCAGCACCCTATGAATGTTGATGTTTTAGTATTTAAACTAGCTAAGCATTAAACAAAAGGAGATGAATAAATAATGTGAACTCTGAAAAGCCCTTGCGCTTTTGCCTTTTTGGCTTGTTTCTCTATTTTCAAAAATACAGGCATTGCATGTCTTTTAGAAATTAACAAAGCCTATACTTGCAGGTTTAAAGATAGCAGGCTTACCAGATTTTAAATGAAATATTGAGTGCTACAGTGATTTAATGGTTTTAAACCATAGATGTCGTTGCGGTCTGAGGGTGTCACAGACAACTTAAGGAAGGAAAAAAATGGGGCACAGAGAAATCACTTTGTCAGTAATTACAATCAAGAGTCCTAAGATGTGGCTCAGGCTGCTCATTACTTCTTCCTTCTGAATCAAGACCCTTATTTACATTTCAGATTACATTTTTTATGAAACAGTAAGATCTATCAGAGCTGAGAGGAGCGAAATAATGAGGGGAAAACATTTTAATAAAACGTGTTGGGTCTGCATTACTTCCGTGTCAGAAAGAAAGGCTACTTCTGTGGTGATGGATCATTTATTCTGCTTCTAAACGAGAAGCAAAAAGATGAAACTGATGAACTTTTACTGCCCATTTGTCTTTAGCAGACAATTAAGACAGAGAAGATCAAAATGGATTATCATACCACGCAGACAACTGGCCCAACAGCAATACATCTCCGGGACCACAGATTTGTAACTCTCTTTCATCCCTCCCCTTTCTTCTTACTTCTTTTTCCACTCTAAAGGCAATGCTAGCTTTGTGGCTCAAGGAGAGCCAAAAGGCTGGTCATCATTATTCAGTCACAGATGTCAGTCTAACCTCCCTTTTTTCTCAGTTTCTAAAGCAGTGAGCCACAATAATTTGTGACAGATTCTTTTACTGTAAGGTACAAAGAACACACAGAATAAAACATCTAGCAGCAGCAAGTGTCTCTGATCAAGTGTGCTGGTACATGGGAAATACACTATATGTAAAAACAAGCACGGCAGTTTAGGCGAATGAGGAGGAAAACTGGAGGGGGGAGTGAGTAAGAGAGAGAGAGAGAGTGTGTGTGTGTGTGTGTGTGTCTTAACAAGTGCTATACTTTGTAGTGAATTTTCTCAAATATTCCTTATGGGTTACATCATAAATGTTTTAATACTAGAAATGTTGTCTAGATTAAGCACATATTCAACTTAACGGTTTGTATGTAATAGAAATATTTCTAAGAATTCCTTAAAAGAGTACAACCGAGGGGAAAGATAATTTGGTTTAATCCAACAAATGCTGAGAAGAGGAAAAAAACCTAAGATCAGAACCCAAATGGTAAAAGGGTAAATAAAAAATATGTAGGTCTCATTCCCTTTACCAACAGATCAACTGTCAAATCAATTTCTGGGAATTTGGAGGTAACTTCTCCAAAAACAAAGTAGATCTTTCATTCATCCATCATTCTTGAGCTACATGTGATAAAGAAGGGAAACTATCTTTGCCAAGTTGGAAGAGATGCTAAATAAGACTCTCATAAGTCTACATCTAGCCCATGAGTATCATACTCCAAATTTTAAAATTATGTCACTGATCTAAACAAAGAAAACAAGTAACTATCCTGTGAGCACTTTAAAATAGCTAAAATCTATCATTTTTTAGGTTCTTACTGTAATTTTAAATTATTCCAACTTCAATATATGAAATAGTTGTAATATCATCCATTAACCCAAGTAAAGAGAACGAAGTTCATAACATAATATTTAATCTGTAAAAAGGGTTCCACTGCAACATCAAAATGGATAATAGTCTGTATTTCTCTCTCTATATATATACACGTACTATATATACATATGTATGTATAGTACCCGTATATATACACATAGATTCCCCCCCAAACACAAACATAGTCACATAAAATAAACATGAAAAGATAAATACCAGGGGAGATGAACCATGAGAGACTATGGACTCTGAGAAGCAAACTGAGGGATTTAGGGGAGGGGGGGAAGGGAGGGAGGGATGGTTTAGCCCGGTGATCGGTATTAAGGAGGGCACGTATTGAATGGAGCACTGGGTGTTATACGCAAACAATGAATCATGGATCACTACATCAAAAACTAATGATGTAATGTATGGTGACTAACATAACATAAATACCAAATTGTCATAGTGGTCATCTCTGAATTATATCTATATCTATATCTATAATTAAAATTATAGATGACTTGTATTTTCTTTCTTTGCATTCTTTTTTAAATTTATTTCTGATTTATTTATATTTCCTAAATATTTTGTCATGAGCATATTACCCATGTGGTTATTACCCATGTGATTTACACACACAAAAAAAAATCATGTTGATCAAAGTTTCAGATGTAGTAAGAAACTACATTTAAAGGAACAGATCCAGATGTTAACCATGTTATTTTCAGTTTTGTCCTACAAAATTTTCTCTTGTTGGGTAATTCAGAACTTGGAACCACAAAGGTTATTTACTGAGCCACAAAACTTTAGAATAATGATTTTCTTAAGAGCTATGGCCTCAAGTCTATTCAAAACAACACTTTAAAATTTTCCACCTTCTAGACACTGTTTAATGAGAAAAAAATTATTAATAAAGAGGTCCTATAATCTTTGGATTGTGTAGTTTAAATCCAATGGGCTCAATCACACAGCAATTAAGGCAAGATAAAAATTTAACTCTCCTGTTGGAAGACGAAGCAAGGGTTAGAGAAGATTAGTATTTTTTAAATCTCATTTAAAAGTCTTGAGATCACACACAAAGCAAACCATACCAGTTCTCTTGGGTTCTTGTACAATAAAATCTCATTACAAAGCATCTCATTATACTGATTATCCAGTTATATTCCTGGTCACATTATGTCCCCTGTATTCATAAAGATGTCTCAGATACCTTGCCCTCATACAACAGGCCACATTGCAAAGGTGTAACTACTATTGTACTGGATAGTTCTATTCCATTCAAGGACATTTTTTCTTAACAGACAAAATACAATGGGTGGTTTTATAAAGTTGTTTTATTCAGTGTAATCAAGGATGCTTCTATCTTGAAACTGCTTTAAAAAAGCATAGCAAATTGCATATTTGAACTAAAAATGTAAGATTCCCCCAGAAAAGCTATAAACCATCCCTAATATTTCTTAAGATACACACTGGAATCCAGAATGTATAACCTGGATCTAATTTTCAAGAACAGAGCAGCATCAGAACTTCAGCACTACCTTGTGATTAAAATAGTCCCTTCCACTCCATTCCATGCTTGCAGGATACAGGAAATTCGAGATGGCAGGGCCAACCAGCCAACCTCAACTTTCACTACCATCATTAGAACCCCACCCAGAAGACCATTCCTGAATGTGTATCTTCTTCTTGGAGTACTACCATAACACACAATTTCATAATCTATTTCAAATTCCAGGAAATGTTATAAACTTCCCTCCTCCTCCCATTTTTGTTACACTGGTTTTTGACTGTTTAAATGGCATTAAAAAAAAAAAAAAGTTCCCAGGCAATCCAAAAAGGATTTCCTAATGAACTGCAGACTACAGCATTCCTCAAAGTAAAAAATAAAATTCGTGACAGATTTTCTTCCTTACTTTCTGTGGATTTTCCCCCTGAAGGTAACACCCCAAATCTAGCACAATATTTTCAATCCGACCTCAATATGTTTTTATTTTTTGTCTTGGGTTCCTAATTGCTATTTCTCTTCCCTCTAAAAATTCATTTATCTCCTTCAGTAAAAAGAACAGTAATAATATGTTGAACAACTCTGAAATAAATTTTGTCATGTAAAAAATTAATTACGCATTCCGAACCTGGTCACTGTAGTCCTCCGGGAATTGCCTCTGCACCTCAGGATCTGTAAATAATTGACAGATAATATTAATTGGCTTTGGATTAGTGAGCAAGCAGAGGATCACACATTAATATTTGATCAGAAGATGATAGCAGCCCTGGCAGGGGATCCAAGGGGGGCAGCTGAGGCTGCTATGTTGATGAGCACAAGGAAGGACTCGGCAAGGCACTCCCATTACCCTCCTCCAGAAATATGAAAAAGAAAAATTTTGAAGACCTGATGCTACTGTTAACTTTAGACTATTACCTAATGCAAAAATCTTGCCTGCTGCAAATTGCCCTCAATATATTTTTCCAGAGAAAATGAGTCCTAAACCTGGCTTGACTTTTTTTTCTCTAATCAGAAGCCTCCTTTTCACAGTTACAGATGTGTGCTTGATAAACCACCTTAAACATCAGTTTCAGATTGTGTGTGTGTGTGCGTGTGTGCACGCACACACTGGCAGGTGGCAGGGAGTGGGAGAAGAATTCTTTCAAAGAACAAATACAAAACTCTTTGCTTTTTTTTTTTTTTAAGATCTTATTTATTTATTTGAGAGACAGAGAATGAGAGAGAGAGAGCTCATGAGAGGGGGAGGGTCAGAGGGAGAAGCAGGCTCCCTGCTGAGCAGGGAGCCCGATGCCGGACTCGATCCCGGGACTCCAGGATCATGACCTGAGCCGAAAGCAGTCGCTTAACCAACTGAGCCACCCAGGCGCCCAAAACTCTTTGCTTTTAAAAATAAAATGTATCCTTACCAAAATACTTATGAACTCCTGAAAATACAGATAAAACCGGATGAAGTTTTCTTCAAAACAGAACCAAACAATACACTTTTGGCTTGTCAGTACAAACAAAATATCATGAAATGAGATATTATGTTCTACCTAACATAATTAGACTTGCTCATCAACTATAAAAATACATAGGTGAAAACACCTTTTATGACCATCTGCTTAAAATGGAATTACTAAAGGGGTCACTTGATTCTTCAATCATAATTGCAAGATAATCCAATGCCATTGTCTGTAAGTCAATACAGAACTGTACTAATTAAATGCTATTAGCACTCCATTTGCTATTGATTAGGAAAACACTCATTCTTTTCTAATAAGAGAAAGAGATTTGGTTCCTCAGAGACACATTATGGGGAGTGACAAGAATAATATGTATTTGAAAAATCACATATCAATAGAAAAGCACAGTATTTGAGGGTCCCCTCACACACTGATCACAAAACATACTATTCAGTTTTCTTAGCTATCTTTTAAAACATCAATTTACTCTCTGTGAGAGTGAATCCACATAAAAGTTAAAACCCTCCAAAATCACAACACAAAAATGCAGTTAATCTTTCTGCAGCGAGGAATCAAAAAGGGAAAAAACTAAGGGCCTATTCACATACTACATTTAAATCCTAGAAATACCAGTTTTCAAGTCATTAAAGTCAATGGATGTTACTTTTCAAAACCCAAGGCTAATAACAAAAGTGGGAGTATTCAAAAGGGCATACCAAAAAAGCAGAGCTTCCAAAAATGGGTGGTCCAAAAGAGATGAACCTATCTGTAGACCATTTCAGCTCTTGAGGGATCTTCTGGTTGACTTAAAAACTGGGGATCAATTTCTTTCCTTACCCCCATGTGCAAACACTCGATGGGACAAAGGCCATGTCTACATTGTGACCAGCAGAGTGCTGGCGTGGTCCTCTCCATGCAGGGCTGCCCTAGTGTGCCAGAGGAAGAAACTGTTGCTTCTCTCTGGCCGGAAGGGCTGAAATCACACAAGGACTTGGTCCACTTGAGAGAGGAGGCCAGAGGGCACTAACAGCGTGGCATGAAAAGCACTAGGTCTACAGGGAAGAATTAGCAGGATGCAAAGGGACAACCAGATGCCTAACACACCTCTAAAAGTGTGCTTGCTGTTGGGTTGGGGGATGGGAGAGCCTAAGTAAGAGGGTAGCAGTTATAATCCCTAAAACATAGGTAAATCACCCTGGGGCAGAAAAAGCTGGTATTTTAGGATTTAAAATATGCTCCCAAGACTGAAAAAAACAGAAAAAAGCACTTGTAAGCCACTGAGGACACAGTAAAACAGAAGTTGGGAAAGCCACAGAATAAGGCTTATTCTTTTTCTTCCAACTGTCACGTGGTTAACACTTACTCTTCAACCAGAAAACTTCATATAGAAATGACTCACATATATATCTTTAATATCATCCCTTCTTGCAGTAGTTTGTGCTTCTCAGGAACCACAAATACTGATGGAAATCAAGATGGAATAAAACCAAAGACTAATTTTTTTAATCACCACTTTGTGAGGGAATGGATGTCAGAAACCAAAATTTATGATATATTCTTCAATTTAAAAAAGTTTCTTGTTTATAGGTGGGAGAAGGAAGGTTTTTACATCTTTAGTCAACTATGTTAATAAGAAACTATATTAATAATTAACTTATTTTAAAAATGTATTTTATGCATATATACAATATAGCAGAATTTTAAAAAGGAAACATGGATGAAAAAAAATCCACTTATTTTAATATACTGAAGGTAAAGATGACCATAGAATGCCAAGATGAGAGTCATGCAAATCATACTATTCTAAACACTGCCTCAGCGGCAGGGACAACAAACACCATCAACCAAATTCCTTCAACTGTCCTAAGACTCAGCCCAGAGTGAGATTCCCAGATTTTTACAGAATCATGTTCCAAGATAATACATGGATTATTATTTACTATGATCCAAGCATAAAGCTTGTGATTTCCTTTAAGGCCCTGAGGTTTACAAAAGCAAACTTTATGGGTTCTTAATACTCTCTAAAGCAATATTTAAAAAAAAAGGGGGGGGGGGCGAATGCTTTTTAAAAACAAAAGTCCAACCTAAAAAGTTCCACTCAATTAGCTCAAAGATCCAATCTGATAGTTTATAAAACTATGAAAGCCATTTTGTAAAAACTAACAAAAAACTGAAAATAATTTGAGTTTTCTTAAAATGTCTATTTTGCACAGTGGGTTGAAATCATCTTTTTTCACTTTGAGTCGATCACAATGCCATAATGTCACCAAAATATCGACATTGGAAACATCTGAGTTTAAAAGGTCCAAATACAATCTGCTTTTCTCAAGCAACACAACACCCGCCTTACTAACAGTTTCAGCATGGCACATGTACAAAACCTAGCACCCTGCAGTTAAGCAAACCGCCTTTAAATTTTCTGTCTGGCAGCAATCCACTTGCGTGTCTGTATGTTTTTACAAGTACTCTATGTATTTCATTGCATCAGCTGCATTTCTTTGAGTTTTAAATGGTCTGGGAACATTTTATGAAATGTTCTATATCTTTATATGGAAAATAACATACACTGGAAAAGTGTGCATCAGTCTAATATTTATATATCTATTTCTTTATCCACCATCCAATACTATAATTGCTAATGTTCCAAAACACCTTCTCACATTCATAGCCTCACCGCCAAATGCAGTGTCACCAAACAGCTAACTTTCAACACAAAAATCTGCAGATCAGAGAACTACCAAGGAAAAAAGCAACAATTTGCTTAGGCAATTGGCAGAAAGAACAGAGTCATGAGCATATGTCAAGCTTTTTCTCGAAGAATTGTCCCTCTGACAGAAAATTAAGAACATTCCTTTTCCTTCTCTCTCAGCAACTTTCTCCAGATTTAAGTGGTAGATTCTTAAAATTAAAAATCAATTTCATCATCTCCCAGGAAAATACTTTTCAACCTAGTATTTAAAATATCTTATCTTGGGACGCCTGGGTGGCTCAGTCGGTTAAGCGTCTGCCTTCGGCTCAGGTCATGATCCCAGGGTCCTGGGATCGAGTCCCGCATCAGGCTCCCTGCTCCGCGGGGAGCCTGCTTCTCCCTCTGCCTCTGTCTCTCATGAATAAATAAATAAAATCTTTAAAAATAAATAAATAAATAAAATAAAATATCTTATCTTGCCACACCATGTATGGTATGGTAGAGTCCATATATCTCTTAACCACATAAGCCTAAAAGAGGCAGCAGGCTCTGGAATAAGGCTTCGCATCAAATCAACGTGATGGGCCACTACCTTCTTCCAGCACCACGTCCATGCAAGAGGAGGTCTCCACAAAGACATGTGTGCACCAACCGCTTCCACTGGAGGCCACAAGAAGCATTCCTATACTTAACACAGACATTTCACTGCATAGGACTCCCAATAGCACAAGCTGATTCAGGCGCGTAACGTGACCATGCTTAAGAGGCTAGGTCCTCACAGGGGAAAAATAAATAAATTAAGAAAAGTCTCAGAACAACTATGTCTTGATTTTTTTTTTTTTAAGAAAGGTTAATTTTCTTCGACCTCAATTGTTCATGTTTTCTAGTCTTCTACTGTAACATACTTTAAATCTTTAAGATATACCAGATTGCCACAGGATGTTTAATTAATAGAATTAGAGTTTGGGCAAGACTTGCTGGAACGGTGCTATAAATTATTTTACACAGGCTCCAAAACCTTGAGTTCTGCCTTAGGCTTAAAGTTCCTAGAAAACGTGGCAGACAGATCTTTTACAACAGAAATGCAAAATAATTCATAAAAGTACTGTGGTTATGTATGAGGGCTCATTTGTAGATCAGTAACTAGTATGTGTGTACACACACACACACACACACACACCCCTTACCAAATTATTTTCCTGTTTTTCTCTGTCGCACCAATGACTCCATTTGAAGGGTCAAGGCATGACGCTTTAACTGATTATTGAAAAATACACTGACTTCATTTTCTATGAAATGTGTGACAACTGCACACGAACCAAATGTTACAATCGTCCATAACTGGAGCTCTTTTAGGAAATTTAAGAGAGACTGCAAGCAAATGTAGCTGCTAACACGGGAATCTACACTGCTTTCACTTTTAACATGGCAGGTATATCAAGGCAAAAAAAATTACATTTAATGCCCACTAAAATTTACCCAGTCATTATCCCTAGGATATTTCAGTCAGTAAGAAACAAAATATTGAATATATTTAA